GNTATAGAAGGATTATATAATCATGAGTTCGAGGATGCAGATGGGTTTCGTAATGGATAAAAGAGCTCTAGAAATAGTTAATAGTTCATTTAGACTGGAAGGTGGCCATTTCCAAGTTGGTCTACCCTGGAAGTATGATAAGCCAAGGCTACCGAATAATTTGGAACTAGCTGAATGTAGACTAGAGTGTTTAAGGAAGAGGTTTATGAAGGATAATAGTCTTCTGGAGAAATACCAACTTGTAATGAATAGACATTTAAGTAAGGGCTACATCATTGAAGCTAGTAAGGAGGAATTCGACCGTGATGCTGTTTGTTGGTATATTCCTCATCATCCTGTTACTAACCCTGAAAGGCCTGGAAAATCAAGACTTGTTTTTGATGGTGCAGCTGTTTATCAAGGTTGTTCTCTTAATGATCAGCTTTTGAGAGGACCAAATACTGTAAATAGTTTAATTGGTATACTTCTACGATTCAGTTTATGAAACGTAGCATTAGCCGCTGACATCAAGGTGATGTTTCTTCAAGCAAAGATTCCGAGACGAGATAGGGGAGCGTTTCGACTATTATGGTGGGAAGATGGTGATATATGACGAAAGGCTAAAGAATATTGTTTAACAGTTCATCCGTTCGGAGCCGTGTCCTCTCCTGTTTGAGCTAATTTCGCTCTTCGGAAGACGGTAGATATATTCGGAAAGGAATTGAATAAAGATGTCCAGGAATTTGTAGATAAGAGTTTTTATGTCGACGACTATTTAACTGCAATTGATAATGTGCAGGATGCAATCGAGCATGCAAAAACCCTTAGTTTGCTCCTCAGAAAAGGTGGGTTCAGACTTACCAAGTGGATAAGTAACTGTTTACAGGTTCTCAAATCAATTCACCCAGAAGAGAGAGCAGTAGCCGTAAAAGAGATTGACTTTGAGAGACTTTCTACGGAACGCACATTGGGATTATTTTGGAATACTATGGTTGATGCGTTTGAATTTAAAGTTCGCATACCGAAATGCCCTCTCACTAGGTGAGGTATATTGTCGAGTGTAGCTTCATTATTTGACCCCTTGGGATTGTTAGCACCGTTCATACTTCCTATGAAGCAGCTACTTCAACGTTTAGGTAAATTGGGACTAGGATGGGACGAAGAGATTCCAAGTGAGGAAGGCAAACGCTGGTTAGAGATTTTGAGTGAATTTCAGAGGGTTGAGAACGTTAGTTTTCCACGTTGTGTATTGTTTCCACAATCAGATCGCTCGCTCCTGGAACTTCATATTTTCTGTGACGCCTCGGAAACTGGGTATGGGGCAGTGGCATACGTCCGCTCTTACATCCATCACACTGAAATATGTTCTCGTCTTCTTACGGCTAAGGCAAGAGTAACCCCCTTAGAGATTCAAACTTTACCCCGCTTGAACTTTCGGCAGCAGTGTTAGCAGCGCGTATGGGGTCCCAGCTGCAGTCCAAGTTAGATATTAAGTTTGCAGAAGTTATGTTTTGGACGGATTCCATGATTGTCTTACACTATATTAGAAATGAGAAAAGCCAGTTTAAAACATTCATAGCAAACCGGATTTCGACTATCCACAGTCTTACAAAGGTGGACCAATGGAGATTCGTACCTTCTAAGGAAAACATAGCAGACTTTGCATCCAGAGGAGCCAAGTTCAACATTGATGATGTCAAGGTATGGGAGGAGGGACCACATTTTTTGAAGAAGTCAAAGGAGTGTTGGCCTGATGCGGATGTACAAGGTCGTGAACCCCATCTCTTGGAATCAAAGAAGGTAATGTCCACGCATCATGTAATAGTTGGAGAATCCACTGTTGATCTACTTATTAATTATTATTCATATTGGACTAGATTACTTAAGGCTGTTGCATGGTTGATCCGATTTAAGCGATATTTATTAATAATGTATTCTGGCAGAAATGATCTGTCTCTACAGGTGGGTATGCTCAGAGTTGATGAGCTAGATTTAGCATGTTTAGATTTAATTCGATATGTCCAAAGCATAGTGTTTCGGAAAGAGATTGAAATGTTGTCGTCTGATACCATTAGCCAAATGAAAATAACAAATTCACCCTTACGA